TATGCTATGCTATGCTATGCTATGCTATGCTATGCTATGCTATGCTACTACTATAGGCCTAAGACAGAACCTTGGGGGTACCCCATTGCATAATTTTCATGTAGATGTAGTTCCATTGAGGAATATATGTTGAGTGTAGTTGGTCAACTAGTTGCAAATCCATTTGGTGGTGTTACTGTCAAACCCACATTTTTCTGTCTTATGAAGTAGTAGGTTATGGTCTATTTTATCAAATGCCTTACTGGTGAAGGTAAATTATGTTTACAGCATTTTGTTAACCCACAGCACTTGACTGTCAAAAAATGTAATAAGATTTGCCTGGCATGATTTGTTTCTGACAAGCCCATGATTATTTCTGGTTACAACTTTGATTGCCTCTAAGCATTCATTGTTTGATATCATTTTCAGGATCTTCCCATGTACTGATTGGCCTGTAGTTTCCTAGATCCAATTTTTCCCCTTTTTTGAAGATGGAAATCATATCAGTTTCCCAGTGTTCCAGGATCTTTGAAAGATATGTTTTAGAGTTTCCATCTGCCAGCTTCTGCAGAACCCTGGGATGAAATCCATCTGGTCCTGGTGATTTGAATTTGTCTAGGGTGGATAAGTGTTGTCTTACCATTTCCTTGCCTATTCTTAATCTGTCTTTTACAGTTCTGCTTTTGATACTTTGGACTATTTTTTTCTTTTGTGTAAAGACAAATGTAAAGAATGAATTAAACTGGGGCGGAGCTGGCGTCGCAACGATATGGCATGCAATCTTGGAGGTCTGAGATTGCTGCCGATATCTTTGCTACTGGATGGTCCAAACGGACCTAAACTGTCCTGAAGAGATGGTGAATGTAAAGAGCACATCCTGTCGATCCCAGGGACACTGCAAAGTCCCTGGTAGATCCAGGAGAAGCTCTTTTTGCCAGCAGCAAAGAGACAGCCATTAAAGCTGCTGAAGTTGGGACAGCTCCGAAACGGAAGAGGATAGAAAGAGAAAGTGTGCCGGTTTGGTGAGAAGTTTTTCTTTACTTTAAGATTTAAAAGGACACCCTAAGGAAAAGAAAGAATCTGTAAAATCTCAGACAGTAATTAAGCAGCGATTTTAAACGGGAAGTCAAATTAATTTTTTTGGGGGGGGGGGACTCTTTGTATACAATTTTTTACTTTGAACTGGACTGGTCTTTTTTTTATCTTATTTTTCATTTTTGTTTCTTCTCCTTTTTGTCTTTACAATATTTTAGGCTAGAGATCCTCTTTTAGCCTTTTTTTCTCTCTAAACCCTTTTTCCTTTTTAATTAATTTTTTTATAATAATCTGTTTGGAAAAGGAGGGGGAAAGTGAAAACAGAGGAAACTTTGTAACACTGCCAACTAGAGGCTTAGAAATATTGTTTCTCTTTTTTTCTCTTTCGACCAAAGCGGAGAAAGTGGAGACTTCTTTTCAAGGACTGAGCCTGTCTGATAAGATAGAGGGAAGAGCATGGGAGAGTGTTATTGCAGGTGCTCTTCTGAGTTTCTATCAGTATCTGGAGTCTGGTGTTGAAGTATACAGAAAAAAGATGATAAGATTCTAGAGAAGCGAGCTATAAAAATTAACAAAAGCCTTGGATAACTAAATAAGTACAGTGTGTTCTCTTTCTCTTTTTTAAGTTGGGCTATTCCTCACACTCCCTCCTTGCCAGCTTATTATTTGTAATAGTTATTTGGATCTCTGGACTTTTGGAACCTGCTTTTGTCTTTCTTTTTGTTTTTGGAGCCTAATTTTTACTTTTGCATTTTATTTTAAAGGAAAAGTCATAGTATTAATGTTTTCCTTTTTTTTTTTTTTAAGGGAGAAGGCTTTTTCTTTTTTTTCCTCTCTCCCTCTTCTGCATTTTTTTATCTACCTTCCATATTGGTGTTTTTTTTTTGTGGCTTCCTTTTTGTATACTTTTTCATACCTGGGACTTTTTAATTGGATTAAGGTGTTGAAGAACCTGAAGAAATTCCTTTTTCTTTTTACTTTTTTACTTTTTATTTTTTTTACCTTCTACAAGATTTAATAATTTTTTCCTTTCTCTATTTATGTTTTTTTTTCTTCCTTTTTTGAGCTTTTACTGCTATTTAACTAATCGATTGGATTAAGGTATACAAGAACCTGAAGAAATCTTTTTTTTCTATCTTGCTTCTTTTTCCCCACTATTTTTACGTGGATTTACAATTGGCTATTTCACGAGTGGATTAAAGTCTAGAAGAACCTGAAGATTTTGAATTGTCCAAAATGAGCAGGAAACTAACAGCAGCTGGTTCTTCAATTCCTACTTCTTCCTCTTCACCATCTGGAGGACAACGCTCAATACAGACGATGTTACAAGAAAAAGAACAGGAAAAGGTGACATTGCAGATGATAATGCAAGGAATTCAAAGCATACAAGCAAGAACAGAGAATATTGAAAGGAGAATAGAAAAAACTGATGAAAAGGTGGAGAATATTCAACAAATGATGATGAAGTATGATGAGAAATTCAAAAAAAATTGAAGAAGACAAAGAGATAAGAAGATTGGAGATATTGATGACAGATTAACAGTGGTTGAACAAGATAAAAGTGAGATGAGATGGGAGATGGATAGATCAGAATTTTATCTCAGATTTCAAAACATAGAGGAAGAAAAGAGCTAAAACTTAGGTGAGATAATGATAGAAATCTTGGCTGAAGCTCTGGAAATAACTAAAGAGAAGATGATGGATGGAATAGACGAGGTTTTTCGAGTCTTCACAAGATATGCAATGAGAAATAGCTTACCAAGAGAAGTTCACATCAGATTTACAAAGAAAGCCATCGAAAGACAAATATTACAGGTAGCAAGAGAGAAAACATTGAAACATAAAGATAAGGAGATTGTGGTCCTGAAACAAGTGCCCAGAAGAGTGAGAGAAATGAGAAGAGAATACCGATTCCTGACTAAAATTCTACTTAAAAAAGAGGTGAATTATAGATGGCTGATTTCAGAAGGTTTAATGTTCACATGGCAAGAACAGAAACACAGAATTGATTCAATTGAGAGAGCTGAATCATTTTATACTGAGGAGACAGAAAAAGAAATGTCACTAGTTGAATTCCAAGAGGATTGCCAAATAGCGACTGAAAAAGAAGAAGGTGCAGTAGGTGGAAAGGTGGAAGTTAAGGAACAACGTGAACCAAGATCTACAAGAGCTGCTAAACCTACTTATAAAGTATAAACATGGAAGAGAAAAAACTGATTACAATTAACATAAACAGACTTAATTCAGCTGCTAAAATAAGGAAAACTTTCCATAAATTAGAGAAATTAAAATGTGATATAATCTGCCTACAAGAAGTACATATTAAAAAGCAACATGAACAACTGTTGATACAGCCAAAGTTAGGGGAAATATTTACTTCTTTGACACAATGCAAGAAAAGAGGAGTGGTTTTATACATTAAAGATATTATCCCAGTGAAATTGATTGATACAGATGATGATGGAAGAGTATTAATGGTGGAAATAATGGACAATAATATGAAAACACTCCTGATCGCAATCTATGCCCCGAATGACAATCAAGAAGAATTTTATAGAAAACTACGTATAAAAATAATTGAACTGGACTATTCTAATATCGTTATGATGGGAGACTTCAATGGAATTGTAGACAATAAATTGGACTATACAACACAGAAAACAACAAAGCAAAACAGAAAGCCTCTCCCTAAATTCTTTTTTAAAATGACAGATGAAATAAACCTAAAAGATGCATGGAGAGAAAGAAAAGCTAAGACTAAACAATACACTTTCTATTCAAACAGACATTTATCATGGTCCAGAATAGATACGATATGGATGTCAACAGAATTGTTAGCCAATATGCAAGAAATAAATATTGAAACAAGTATTTGGGCAGATCATAATCCAATGACAATTAAATGGAAAGGACAAAGAGGAAGATCTAGATGGACGTTAAATAATACTATATTAAAAGAAAAAGACTTCATACAGAGGATGGAGAAAGAACTGGCTTTTTTCTTTAAAGAAAATAAAAAAGAAGATACATCAACGCAGAATGTATGGGATACAATGAAGGCATATGCCAGAGGCTTGATAATAGACTATACAAGGAAAAGAAATATCACGAAAAGACTAGCCTCTAAGACATTAGAGGATGAGTATAAAGAACTTGAAAAAGAGTTACAGAGAATGCCACAGAAAAAGGACATTAAGTTAAAAATGGATATAATTAAACATAAAATGGGATTAATGGAAAAAGAAGAATTAGCACAGAAAATCAGAGGCACGAAACAGAACTATTTTGAAGATGCAAATAAACCAGGTAGATGGTTAGCATATAAACTGAGAAAGGAGAAAGAATCAAGGAAAATATTGCAATTAATAGATGATCAAGGCCAAGTTTGCTATGGAAGTAAAGAGAAGAAGGAAATTATACAAGACTATTACGGGAAACTATATGCACAAAAGAATATTGATGATGAAAGAGTTAAACAGTACTTACAGAATGCTAACCTACCCCAGATACCTAAAGAGATTGAAATAATGTTAGAAAGCAATATAACGATGATGGAGTTAACTGAAGTACTTAAGAAGCAAAACAATGGAAAGGCACCAGGCCCAGATGGACTTCCAGTGGAATTTTATAAAACACTGCAAGAATCGTTGAATCTTCCATTGCTAGAAGTTATGAATGAAGTTATGTCAAAGAAGAAGATACCTAAATCATGGTCAGAAGCTTATATTACACTTATCCCAAAAGAAGAGGCCGACCCATTACAAATTACGAATTACAGACCTATTTCCCTACTAAACGCAGATTTTTAAATCTTTGCTTCAATATTGGCAGAAAGACTTAAAAAATACCTAAATAATTTTATTCACTCTGACCAAAATGGATTTCTGCCAAAGAGACAAATTAAAGGCAATATGAGAGTAATCTTGGACACCTTAGAATACTACAAGGCACACCCTGAAAAACAAATGGCTTTGGTATTCTTAGATGCACAGAAGGCATTTGACAATGTGAATTGGCGATTCATGTTATTACAGCTGGAACAGATGGGTTTTGGTAAAAAATTCATCCAAGCAATACAAGCTATATATCATAAGCAAACAGCAAAGGTAATGATAGAGGGAGAATTAACAGACTCTATTGATATAAGAAAAGGAACAAGACAAGGGTGCCCACTGTCACCCTTGTTGTTTGTGTTAACCTTGGAAGTGCTAAACAGAAATATTAGAGAAGAAAAGGACATAAAAGGGATGAAAATTAAAAAAGAATTTAAATTGCAAGCATTTGCAGATGATCTGGTTTTCATCTTAGAAGACCCTCTAGAAACAGCACCAAAATTGATAGAAAAGATAGAGACATATGGGAAGGTGGCTGGTTTGAAAATAAATAAAGACAAAACAAAGATTTTGACAAAGAATATGTTATCAAGACAAAAGGAAGAACTGGTGGATGTATTAAAAATCCAGATCATGAATAATATCAAGTACTTGGGGATACATTTGACAGCAAGATGTAGTACTCTAAAAGAGAATAACTATATTAAACTTAAGCAGCGGATAGCGCTAGATTTAGCGAAATGGGAAAATTTACAACTGTCATTAATAGGGAGAATATCAACAATCAAGATGAATATATTACCCAGAATTTTATATTTGTTTCAAACAATTCCAATTAGGCTTGGAAAAGATTATTTTGAAGATTTAAATAAAATTGTGTTGAAATATATATGGCAAGGTAAGAAAGCGAGAATAAAATTAAAACTTTTGCAAGATACTAGAATAAGAGGAGGATTTGGTTTGCCTAATTGGCAGCTGTACTACCAAGCTACAAATTTGAACTAAAACACAGGGGTATATAGTCTCTGTGGTTAAACTGGGAGAAGACTAAAAGGAAATGTTATTTGAAAATTCCAGTCTGGCTATCAACTATTGAAGCTTTTTCCTATCCTATAATATACAAAAAGGAACAAACAGATATGGTGAAATATTGAATGAAAAGGGTGAACTTAAATCTATGCAAAAATTAGAAGAACAAGGTATAAAGATGAATTGGTTTTCATATGTGCAAATACATTCAAGGTATGATAAAGATTCTAAAACAGAAGGTTTCTATGATAAATTGACTGGCTTAGATAAGATTTTGACAGGTACTGATGAAAAGGTGATTAAAAAATTGTATGGATATCTATTAGAAATTAAACTAGAAGAAGAACAAGTTAAAGAAACAATGATTGCTTGGGGGAAGAATTTTGGATATGGGATTGATCTAGAGAAATGGCAAAAATTGTGGTCTCAAAATTATAAAATGACATTGTCAACAGCATATAAAGAAAATTTGTATAAGATGTTTTACAGGTGGCATTTCCCCCCAACAAGAATAGCAAGAAGGTTCAAGAACAAATCTGAAAAATGTTGGAAATGTCATCAAGTACCTGGCTCATATTACCATATGTGGTGGACTTGTGCAGATGCTAAAAAATATTGGTCTAAAATCCACACATGGTTGATAAAAATGACAAAAAAGCATATAGACATGAAACCAGAGATATTTTTATTGGGAATTTTACCTGAAATATATAGTAAAGAATTGAAATACCTGATTGTAAATGTATTAACAGTGGCTAGGATTGTATTTGCCAAAAACTGGAAAAATGAGAAAATACCATCACAGGAGGAAATTATTAAGAAAATATTGGAATGTGCTGAAATGAGTAGATTGACATTTGAAATCAGAGAACAAGATGATAAACAATTTTATAAAATTTGGGATCTATTCTATCAATGGTTAGACAATAAAACATGGTAATGAAATATGTAGATTTTTAGAACATAATGAATATATAAAAATGTATTTTTTATTATATCTACAAAATGATTGTAGGATAGATCTGAGAGGATAATATGAACTGTCACAAAACAAATTAAATTAAATATGGATTATCTTGTAAAACGAATAATAGTATAGTCAAATGATTAATAATGATATTAATGTATTTAGGAAAATTTGATTGACAATATGAGAATATATACAATGTAATTGTAATTGAAGACTACGAAGTGGAAGCACAAAACAATTTGTAAACCAACCGACACACTGTATGTATATATATGGAAGATGGCCTGTTTTTATGGTTTGTTTGTCTATGTTTGTCTTAAAAAACAATAAAACTTTAAAAAGAAAAAGAATGAATTAAACAGCTCTACTTTCTCCCTGCTGCCCGTCACTTCCTTGCCATCTTCTCACATTAGTGGCCCAATTGTTTTCTTGAGTTTTGGGGGTCTTTTACTTGTTAAAATATTATTTTTATTATTTGTATTGACATCTTACTTCATTCTGAGATTTAGCTTTCCTGACTTTTGTCAAGACTGATTTGCACTTTCAAACAATTCCATTTCCACTTTGCCTGCAGATTGACAATAACTTTCAGAAAGAAATTTTAATAGATCTTTTTGCATATTATTAAAATTTCATCATGAATCTCAATCTTGTCTCTCTGCCACAGTTCCTGATACAATCCCTTTGTATTTGGCACAGCTTTTGTCAGGACTAGCTCAAGAGCAGATGCTACATTTTGGACTGACAGATAAATTGACAGATGAAAAGGCACTTCTATATTTCTAGCTGTGAAATACGCATATGCCTCCAAAATGGCAGAATAGAATCTGCTTCTCTCAGGCTTTCTTCTTATCCAACTTGCAATACTTAAATGAGATTCCACTGCCAATTCCATATGCTTAAATATGTTACAGTAAGAAAAGCAATGTTTACTGCTTTGACTTACTGTTTTTGGATCAGCATGATACATTGGATACAAGACCAACCAAGCAAACAAGGTGAACAAATAATAAATTGTTGTAATTAGGAGCAAATACTACTGAACTCTGAGTTTCTGTCTAATCAAACATGCTTTTGATTCAGCAGCAGTATGTCTCCCACTTCACAACTATATTAAAACCACAGAATTTGGTTTTCAATGGAAACTACTGTAAATTTTAGCATAGGAACTTGTCAACTTAAAAACTAAATTAGTAATTGAATCAGAAATCTCATTACCTTTAACTTTGTTCTTTATTTTAACTTATTTATTTTAATACGTATGCCCTGGCATCAACCTTGACTTTTCTCACTATTGGGTGCAACCACACCGTGCTTTATCAAAATATAGAAGTGTTTTTTTGACTTCCTAGGAAAATCAACTGCAAACTGTAAAATAATTTCAAGGGTTTCATTAAGAGCTTATGTAAACGAAGTTGTTCGGACATCGTGGTAGTGGAGAGAATATAAAACGAGAGGAGAGGCATGATCTGAAAATGGAGCACTCCATGTTACTATTTTTTTTCATCTGCTACCATCGATCATATCCTGCTTACGAGTGAAAAACATACGCCGAAGGAGAAAAGTGCAACTTCAGAGTATCAAATGAGAACTCTACAGTTTAGATCTACCGGCTTTCAGAGAAATTACGCGTCCCTCTGTTCCTCATTAAATAAAAACCATCCCGAGATACCTTGCGCACGGAAGTGAATGTGAGGTCAGATTGTGCCTCTGGAATATCGGATCGGTGATGGACACGGCAGGATTACTGAAGGGGGGCACAGCCATGGGATCGCGAGCTCGGCGGAAACTTCTTACTGCGGAAGAAGCGGAACTATTTGAACTTGCGCAGGCTGCGGGGAGCGGCATTGACCCTGAAGTGTTTAAGTGAGTGGTCAGAGGCTGAGGTCTTGGAAGCTTGTGGCCATTGCTTTTTCGGGGTATTGTCTCACCCGCTTTTCTTTCCCTCCAGAAGGAGAAAGATGGAAGATAGTACAGCAGACTTTTTCGTCCAATTAGATTGCAGTTACTAAAGCATTTAATTTGTTTTCTTCTCGATAGATAACATTGAATCTTCCTGAAGAGGTGTGTCTACCGTTCACTCTGACCATTTAAGTTTTCCCTGCAAATTATAACTCTAGCCTGCATAATAAAATGCACTGGAGTTCCTATTTCTTAGACTGCAATTTAATATATAGCTTGGGGATAATAAAAACTGATATCTAGTAATATGATGGTGTTATCGGTGAACTGAAGGCGAGGGTCAGTTAGATTAACAGAATAACGAAGTTGGAAGGGACGTTGGAGGTCTTCTAGTCCAACCTGTCAAGTAGGAGACCCTATAATATAGAGTCTGTACCATTGCAGACAAATGGTTGTCCAGTCTCTTTATGATGAAGCACCTACAACTTCTGAAGGCAAGCCATTCCATTTGTTCATTGCTCTCACAGTGAGGAAATTTCTCCTTAGTTCTAGGTTGCTTCTTTTCTTGGTTAGTTTCTGATAAGTGTGCACCAATATGATGAATCTTCAGAGACAATCAAGTTTTCTGTGCAGTAGAAACTTACTGAGTAGAAAATCAAGCTTGCCAAAGAATCTACAATGGATATGAGCAAGAAATAGTAATATAAAGGCAGGATATAAGGTAAACACAGCGTCAGATCTGTGTATCTGCCATTCTTTGATGGAAGAAAAGGGGGTGGTGGATTTGATTTGATACATTTAATTCTTTTCCTCTTCATGTATCCTCAATATCCTATTTCTCACATTGGCTTTGTATAACCTTTTACATGATTTATAACCGTTGCCTGGCATCCCAGATGTCTGGAAAAATCTCACCTCTTTGAGGGATGAAAGGGGAGAAGGGGCCATGTGGATTGCAGCACCGGAAGATAACTCTTGGGAACCTTTCCTTATCTGATTTCTCAGAGACAGTGGGATAATAACATGTTCACACCTGCAGATTGGGGGAATCCGTACTGTGGGGAGGGGTTCTAATTCCCTTTAGTTGTATGTCCTGAGGGACCCCAGACCCTGCTTTGAATTTTGACCTGCTTTACCCCTCTTCAATAAAAGATTCCTTTTGAAATATAAAGTTTTCAAGAGTTCATACTTATATTTTGAAAGGTGGGGGGAAAGGCTGGTCCTTACACACAGGCAAAAATTAGCTGGGTCTTCAGAGTGGAAAAAGGAAGAATACAAGCTGTAAAAACAGTTCTGATAGGAAATGGCTAGCCAGGGAAAATTAACTGAATGGGATAACAGGAAAGATACTAACTGAATTGGAAAACAGGAAAGGCAAAGCTAAAACTGAAAAATAGGCAAAATCTATTGTTCTAAGAATCTATAAAAAGACCTAGAACTCAAAACAGGCAACTGAGCATGTCTAATTAGCTGATGAATAGTATTTAACACACCTTGCATAAATTATCTCCCAATTTTAATGGACATATGTATGATTTGGTATGTTGTAGGAAATATATAGGAGGCAATTGGTAAGCATGTAACCTCATAGTACCTTAGCCAATAGGGAGCGAGGAGGGACATGGCAGTTGGGATAAGGTTGTGCTGGAACTTTGAGAGAACAAAGCTTTGATAAGCTTTTCTCCCTGTTGCAATAATTGAATCAAAAGGCCTTCACTGTGTCTTGGTTCTGGTTATTATTGGTCAGGTGAGCTTGCCTCTGATTACAAAGAAAGTAGCCAGGAGTACATAACAGCTTCTATCCAGTGCTTCTTGTCCTGCTTTCAGATGCTTTGGAAAATAGGTTGAGTTTCTCTTCTTTGTGGCAGCCTCTCAAACATTGCTATCATGTCACCTCATAATCTTTCTTTTCAATGGACTAGACATACCAAATTCCTGCAACTGTTCTTCATATATTTTAGCCTCCAGTCCCCTAGTTATCTTTGTTGCTCCTTTCTGCACTCTTTCCAGAGTCTCAACATCTTTTTATATTGTGGTTTGGTTTATCTCACCCAAGTGTAAAATCTTATTTTTTTCATCACTGAATTTCATTTTGTTAGACAGGGCCCAGTGTTCTAGTCTGTCAAAATCCTTATTCAACCTATCTTCTGCATGTTGGCTATTCCCGCCAGCTTGGTAATCTCTGCAAATTTGATGAGTTCTTCTATCTCCTCATCTAAATTGTTTATGAAGATATCTTGAGGTACGCCACTGCATAATTCCCTCCATGTAGATGTAGTTCCATTGAGGACTACATGTTGAGTGCAGCCAACTAATTGCAAATCTATCTGGTGGTGATGTTGCCTGACCCATATTTTTCTATCTTATGAAGTAGTAGGTTGTAGTCTATTCTCTTGATTTTCCATCCTTTGTATAAAGAATCTGCCTAAAAATGTATATATAAATTATAGAATGAAAAAGATGGATACAATATATCACCTTGACACAAATACCGTATTTCCCCGAAAATACAACCTATCCCAAAAATAAACACCAGCCTGTTTTTTATGCATATGCCTGATAAACCCTACCCCAAAAATAAGTCTCAGTGAAGGGTGGGTGTGGCCAGCATAGGCAGTGAACACATGTGGGCCGACAATGTATGGCAGCAGCCCGCAGCCCATGCAGCACAGGTGAGTTGAGTATCTGTACAAGCAGCAAACAGAAGCAAAGGCAGGGAGGCAGGCAATCTGGATGTGCCGTGCAGGCCATGGGAAAGCCAAACGGCGGTGGGCTGGAGCAACAGGGAGCTGTGGGAGGATCATATTTGCAACACCGGCAGCAGACAAGCAGAGGCACAGAGGAGTCAGGCAGGTGATCCGGACATGTTGCAAGGGCCGTGGGAAAGCCGAGCAGCGGCAGCCACAGGAGGCTCATCTTTGCATCTCAGATTGCCTGAAACCCATGCAGTGTGTCGGGATTGCCTGCCTTCCACTCTACGTGTCGGGATCACCTGCCTTCCGGTCTGTGCCTTCTGCAGTGCACAGCACCAGAGTGCACTAACTAAGGGTTAGGTTTGCTTGTTGGCTCATGAGTGTGCGGGGGAGGGGTGTTTCCCAGCCGGGCTGATTGTAAGGACCTGCCTCTCCTAACTCTTGAAACTGGGTATTTCAAAAGAAACCTTTTATTGAGCAGAAGTGAAAGCAGGACAAAGGCAAAGCAGACACTAAATTTCCCCAGGCAATACAGTTAGAAATAAGGCATTAGAAACCCCTCCCTCCAGTTCAGTGTGGATTCAGCCAATCCACAGGTGTGAAGATGTTATTGCAATAGCCGTGCTGAGAACCAGATAAGCAGGGTCATCTTCTGCCAAATTTCAGAGTGAAACGGTCAAGCTATTTTCTAAAGCACTAGTAGGCCAGACAAGGAATAATGAATGGAAACTGAACAAGAAGAGATTTAACCTGGAAATAAGGAGAATTTTTCTGACAGTGAGAACAATCAACCAATGGAACAGCTTGCCTTCGGAAGTCGTGAGAGCTTCATCATTTGAGACTTTCCAGAAGAGACTGGATTGCCATTTGTCAGAAATGGTGTAGGGTCTCCTGCTTGGGCAGGGACTAGATGACCTACAAGGTCTCTGCCAACTCTGTTAATCTATCTGACAGGCAAGATGTTGTAGCACATGGCCCTTCCCCTTAATACATTCCCCAAAAGGTGAAAAAATCTCAGGGCGCTCAGGCACCAGGATAAAGGTTATAAAATAGCAGTTGTCAGAGGAAATAATAAAGGATCATATTCAAGGTTTCCCCCCCTTCTCCTAATTGAATGGCAGTATCACTTTAGGGATCTGACACTGATAACCCTGAAATCCTGTTTCCCCCAAAATAAGCCCTACTGCTTATTTTGAGGCCAAAAAGTAAATAAGACCAGGTCTTATTTTGGGGAAAACATGGTATTAATGCAGCATTTCAGCTTCAAAAAGAAAAAGGCAGTTTGGGGCACACCCATGGCATCTGTTTGCAACTCAAATCAATCTTTGTTTTTCCTGCAGTCACATTTATACTATGGAAGTAAAGGGTCAGAGTTTTGGGGAAAGAGGTAATTTAAAGAATTGCCGATCGAAGTGGTTGGTGACTGCATTTGGGGAGCTTCCATCGCCCAAAAAAGACTGCCTAAAGGCGAGGGGACACGGGCAGCCATGCCTCGCCCCGAAGCAGCTGGGGACTCTGCCTTCGGGGAGCTTTCGTCGGCCGATAGAAGCAACCTTGTGGTGAGGGGAGTGCGTATGGGCCGCTGTAGGTGGGGGAGGAAATTAAGTCACCCCCGAAAAGACGGGCTAGCGGTTTTTTCAGGGGTCAAAAAAAATTAGGCCCGGCCTTATTTTGTGAGAAACACGGTACTTGAATATCCATTTCTCTCCTTAATTCTTCTTTTTGTTTATTTGTCATATTCTTGACCAACATTTAGTTTTTGCCCTCCTACTTTTCCATATTCTGTCAGTTCCTCCATGAGTTTCACACTAGACTTTAAAGACTCCTCCAGAATAAAGATTAGATCATCCGCGAAGGCTTGTAGTTTATATTGTTCTTGTCTGATTTCCAATCCTTTAATTTGTTCTTCTTTCCAAATATTTCTCATCATGTTACTTCTAATGTTAGAATGAACAGTAATGGGGATAGTGGGCAACCTTGTCTTGTACCTTTTTCTATTGTAAAGCTTCGTGTCACCTCTTCATTGATTACTACTTTGACCTTTTGTTTTGTATATATTGCTCCAATCTGTTCCCAATGTGTCTTAATGGCTGTATTATAAATTCCCACTTTATGTTATGAAATACCTTTTGGGCATCTATGAAAAGCAGTGCCACTTGTTTTTCATTATGTGCTTCGTAAAATTCTAATATGTCAAACATCTTTCTCATATTGTTCTTCATCTGCCTTTTAGGTAGGTAGCCGCTTTGGTCGATATGTATAAACGTATTA